TTGCAGGTATTGTTCTCATCTAATTGTGTTAGATGAATACAGTTCTGTCCTGTTACTTCATTAAAACCAATTGTGCTGACCAATTAACATCCACATTCTAAAAAATATATTGGTTTGTTTTAACCCAATGTTTGGTCACTTGTAGATGAACCCAACATTTGGTTAAGATTTCAGTTTTTTAGTTACTATCAATATGTTACTTAATGATATACACTCACCGGCCACTTTATTAGGTACACCTTACTAGTATCGGGTTGGACCCCCTTTTGTCTTCAGAACTGCCTTAATCCTTCGTGGCATAGATTTAACAAGACACTGACTCATATTGATATGATAGCATCAGGCAGTTGCTGCAGATTTGCCAGCTGCTCATCTATGATGCAAATCTCCTGTTCCACCACATCCCTGGGGTGCTCTATTGGATTAAGATCTGGTGACTGTGGAGGCCATTTCAGTACAGTGAACTTATTGTCATGTTCAAGAAACCAGTCTGAGATGATTCACGCTTTATTTATTTCCTTACTTTTATTTATATAGCACTTTTCTAGACACTCAAAACGCTTAACACATGTTTTGGGGAATGTTCTAATCCACAACCAGTGTGCAGCATCCACCTGGATGACACGACGGCAGCCATATTGCGCCAGAGGAGACAGAGTGATGAAGCCAATTATGGTATGGGGAGGGTTAGTAGGCCTTTATAGACAGAGGCTAGTGGGCAGATTTGGTCAGGATGCCGGGGTTAAACCCCTACTCCTTTTTTTTAAAGGACATCTTGGGTTTTTTAACGACCGCAGAGAGTCGGGACCTCGGTTTAACATCTCAGTATAGAGTCCTAGTCACTATACTGGGGCATTAGGACCCCTGCAGACCACAGGTAGGGCGCCCCATGCTGGTCTCACTAACACCACTTCCGGCAGCAACCTAGCTTTCCCATGTGCTCTCCCATCCAGGTAACTAGCTTCAGTGGTTGACCATGTGAAAGTTGCAGAGAGCTAGCTGCCGGTTATATGACATGGCGGGTTGGGGGTGTCTCCACACCACCACCAGTTTGCAGCATGCACGTTGAACGGCGCCAATGCGCTCATCACACACCAGCTATAGGGGAGTGGAGAGACAGTGATAGAGCCAATTCATTGGATGGATGTGATTGGGAGGGAATTTGACCAGGACACCGGGGTTACAACCCTACTCTTTACGAGAAGTGTGATGGGATTTTTAATGACCACAGAGTCAGGACCTCGGTTTAACATCTCATCTGAAAGATGGTGCCCACTGACAGTGTTGTGTCCCCTTCACTTTCACTAGGGCTGTAGGACTCACACAGACCACTGGTTGAGCACCCTCTGCTGGCCTCACTAACACCACCTCCAACAGCAACCTAGTTTTACCATGTGGTCTCCCATCCAGGTACTGACCAGGCTTAGCCCTGCTTAGCTTCAGTGAGTAACCGGTCTTGGGCTGCAGGGTGTGGCTATATATATAGTTAGCGTGCTCTAAAACTGTGACAAAATTCACATTTAAAAGATATAAATATGATTTAAACATCCAACGCTTGCATTTTATTACTTCTACCTAAATGGATCAATAAATTTTTTGGCAATACCTTATCATTCAGTTTCTCATTAAATCTTCTGACCAATCAAATGCTGTCTAGTATCTGACATGCCCCGCCCCCTTTAAGACGCTTTTCATTTGCTTTTCATTTGATGGACTTTTCAACCACTCTCACTGGCAGAGCTGTGATAAAAACCTAATGCTATTGGCTGTTTTTAAAGAGAAGGATCTACTATATGTCCCGCCCTCTTCTCATGTTTCAGTTGAGATTGTCAAACAATGAATGAGAAATGCACATCTCAAAGCTCTTCACAGGACTTTTACTTTTAAATTACACTCACAGTTGAAGTCAGAATTATTAACCCTCCTGTTAATTTTTAATTCTTTTATATTTTTATTGTTATTTGACTAGATTATTCAGGATACTAGTATTGAACTTAAAGTGCAATTTAAAGGCTTAACTAGGTTAATTAGGCAAGTTATAGTAATTAGGCTGGTCATTGTATAACAGTGGTTTGTTCTGTAGACAAAAAATATAGCTTAAAGGGGCTAATAATATTGACCTTAAAATTATTTAAAAAAATTATTTTAGCTGAAATTAAACAAATAAGACTTTCACCAGAAGAAAAAATAATATCGGAAATACTAAAATAAATTCCTAGCTCTTTTAAACATCCTTTGATAAATATTTAAAAAAAAAAAAACGCAGGAGGGCTAATAACTTTGACTTCAACTGTATAATTAATCCATCCATTTTACAAGTCCCTTGTCCTGTATATCATGAAAGCAATTCTGAAGCCTCTTCAAAGCATTCCAGAACACATTTGTTTACAAATGCCTTGTGAAATCTGCTTGTGTTTTGGCTCAGTCTTCAGGCCTCCAGGGAGGAATTCCCCTATTTTTGAGCTGCTACAAAACAAATGATGCATGGATTGAGGAATCAGCTCTGCTGGATCTTGCTCATACACCTCCAGAGTTCACACCGACGAGAGGTCAGAGACGTTATTTACTGTACATAATCAGACCAGTGCTCCGGATGTCTGTGAGTGAAAAAAAATGGTTATCAGTCCGCTACTGGACTGAACAAAAACATCATCAAAGACTGCAAAAGACCAATTGGAACCCGCATGGACGGGTTCCCCAAGATTCTCATAGAAATCAGTCAAGTTTGGTGAAGGAAAAATCATGGTTTGGGGTTCATTCAGTATGGGGGCGTGTGAGAGATATGCAGAGTGGATGGCAACATCAACAGCCTGAGGTAATTGTGCTGCCATTACATTACAAACCACAGGAGAGGGGAATCAGATCAAAGTTCCTGAAAGCAAAGAAGGTCAAGGTGCTCCAGGATTGTCCAGCCCAGTCACCAGATATTAACATTATTGAGCATGTCTGGGGTAAGATGGAGGAGGAGGCATTAAAGATGAATCCAAAGAATCTTGATGAACTCTGGGAGTCCTGCAAGAACGCTTTCTTTGCCATTCCAGATGACTTTATTAATAAGTGATTTGAGTCATTGCAGAGATGTATGGATGCAGTCCTCCAAGCTCATGATGGAGTCACAGACAACATTCATTCTGTTTCCACTGCAGCATGACTTTATATTGTATACTGGACATTATTTCTGTGAAGTGACAAGACTATTGTCTAAGCAGAGTCAGACCTTACTGTCCTAATTAAATCATTAAAAATCAAGTCATGATTATATTTTATTTTGGTAAAATAAGTGTAATCTAGAGGCCTTTGCCTTTCATATAAGCCACTTCTGATGCCAATTCTTACTAACAACATGAAAAAATCCCCTTTGCCTTTCATTCACATCCCTTGTTTTCTCAAGCAGGCTACAGACAGTGCTGGTATTTCACAATAGCATTGCCCAATCACCCTGCACATCCATCAGCTTAATTGAATCTTCACTTTGACAACTCAAATCCTTTAGATAGCACTCATTTATACTTCCCCTCACAGAAAACAGAGCCAACACTTCAGCTGGAGACCCTTATCTGCATTCAGCTCATTACATGCTAAACATATAATAGATGTACATTGAGACCAAATGCTGCCATCTAAAAATAACCATTTAGGTTTCCAAAATGAGCCTTTCAGTGAACGGTTCTTGTTGTAAAGAACTTTTCTAATGTAAATATTAAGATCACATTTTCCACTTTACCTTTTGTGAGCTGGAACCTTTCTATAGATATATTAAACATTTTGTGGGAACCATCAATGCAACTAAGGAACTTATTTTTTTAAAGGTGTAACTCATTCATTCATTCATTTTTCTCCAGCTTAGCCCCTGATTGAGGTTGCCACAGTGGAATGAATCGCCAACTATTCATGCATATGAAACCCCCACGAACACAGGGAGAACATGCTAACTCCACACAGAAATGCCAGCTGGCTCAGCCGGGACTCGAACCAGCGACCTTCCTGCTGTGAGGCGACAGTGCTAACCACTGAGCCATCATGTTGCCTAAAGGTGTAACTTTTAAAGGGGTGGTCCAGAGTTTTTTTTTTACAAATTCAAGTGGATTGAACATAAAACATTTAAATTGCCCCCCCCCCCCCCCGCAAAAAAAAGTATTAGTTGTGTTGTTTCAACTCATTTTAAAACAAACAGCAAAATAAGTTTTTCTGGAGTGCATGAAGGTTTATAACCACTTTAAGTAGAGTAATGACTACATTTTTTTGGGGGGCGAACTGTCGCTTTAATACACTGTAAAACCCAACAATCAACTTTATCAAATGAGTGTTAACTCAGAATGTACTGAAAGTTAACTCTACTAATTTGAAACGAGTTTTGAACTCAGTGTTGAAGGTAATGAGTATATTAAATACCTCATTTCTTCAACTTAGATGGAGTAAGGTCACAGTACTCATATAGATTAGATTTTTTTTTTAACTCAAATGGTTTGTTGCAATTGGTTTCTTCAAACAGTTTGAGTTGCCTTAACTTACTGGGTTTTACAGTACTCAGTTTGAGTTCTCTTCATTTATTGGGTTTTACTGTGCTCAAATTGACCCGTTTACTCAAATGTAATAAGTTCACAGTACTCATTAGGATTAGTTTTTATTATTTTTTTTAAATCATATGGTTTGTTGCAACCAGTTTCCTCAAATGGTTTGAGATACCTTAACTTTTTGGGTTTTACAGTGTAAGGATGTTAGCCTACAAAAAATCCAGCACTCTGAGAAACACTATTTGCACAATTATTTCCCCTACTAACAAGACTATAAACAAATGCACACCCACCTACCAACCCACACACACACACACATAATCACTATAACAGCTATTAGTCAGAAGAGGACTGAAAGTGCTGTTCGAGTAAAAGATGAGTAAGGTACAGAAGAAGTGATGTTTTTTCTTCTTAAACTCCTCCTCTGAAGATGGTGGGATGGTTTTTAGAGCTGACAAATGTACAAGAGTGAAGTTTCTCCAGCTCAAACTCTCCCATGCATTTCTCCAAACACCTCACCAGCAGAGAAACACACACACATTCTGCTTCAGCAGACGCCTTCAGGAGCGCAGCGCTTATCTTTGACATTTTGAACTCAGATATTCTAGTGTTTTGCAACCCAGAAAATCCGTCTAAATGCTGACAGAGCCGTGCGGCCCGATGGGATCGGATGTCAGAGACCTGAGCGCCCTGCTTCCAGCTGTCCCGACACTTCCAGTGGGAAACTCAAACTCTCTGCCTGTCGGCGGAGCTTCGCAGTGGGGCCCGATGCTGGACTTTCACCCTGCCTCTCCCTATGGATCTCTTCCTTCCCACTCCTTCGTGAAGCAGGAGCCTGGCTGGGGGCCCCCAGACCCTTACGAGGACCCTCACTGCGGTTTGGGGGCCTTCACTGTACACTTCTCTGGGCAGCTGACAGGGATGCACGGCCCATTTGCTGATCCTCCTTCTAGCCAAAGCAGAATGTTCTCCAATGGGCCTTATTTGCCAGGCTGCATGGAGAGTCCTCCTGCTCCACGCAACCAGGGTGAGAAAACCATCCCGTCCTTACAATCTCGCCTCAAAATCTCTCTCAATGTGGTCAAAATGTTATGAAAATTAAATAAATGGAAGGATTTGTTGATTCAGGACTAATTTTAAGGACTCTTTTTTTTAAAGTGATTTTAAACATGCATTTAAATTAAATTAAATCTTAATACTAGTCAAAAACAAAACATTGCATTTTGGGAATTATTTAAAAGGGATTTTTAAATTAAAATGTGTTTTTAATATATATGTTTTGAATGTTTTGCAGTCAAGTATTAAAAATATATATATTTTACAAAAATAAAAACTAATGTATTTTAATGCATATATTTTTTATGTTTTGAAGCTATGTATTAAAAATATTTATTTTGCAAAAACATTTAATTCGAATCTATTTTTATGTTTTGGATGTTTTGCAGCCAAGTATTAAAAAATAATTATTTAGAAAATAAATATAAAAAAAAACTCTAAGGTATAAATAAATACAAGTTTATTGTTTTGCAGTGAAGTATTAGAAACATATTTATTTAGCATTTTTTAAAATTCAAATGTATTTTTATTACATATAATTTTTCATGTTTTACAGCCAAATATTTAAAAAAAAATGTTTTTTTGCAAAAAATAAAATAAAATAAATAAATAAATAAATAAATAAATAAATAATTTAAGTAATTAAATGTATTTTTAATTTGAACATTTCACTTGAAATGTTTTGATGCTTAAAAAATCTTTTTGTTTTTGACCAGTTTACCGAAATCTTAAACTTGATGTTTAAAAAAAGGAAATATAATTTGGTATATTTTTAATTATCTTATTATTATAAATTACATATATAGTTGAAGTCAGAATTATGAAACCCAATGAATTATTAGCCCCTATTTTTTCTCAATTTCTGTTTAACAGAGAGAAGATTTTTCAACACATTTCTAAACATAATAGTTTGTTCTTTAGACTATTCAAAAATATAAAGCTTAAAGGGGCTAATAATATTGACTTAAAAATGTTGTTTAAAAAATTAAAAACTACTTTTATTCTAGCCGAAATAAAACAAATAAGACTTTCTCCAGAAGTAAAAATATTATCAGACATACTGTGAAAATTTCTTTGCTCTGTTAAACATCATTTGGGAAATATTTAAAAAAGAAAAAGAAATTCAAAGGGGGGCGAATAATTCTGACATCAATTCCATGCTCGAAGTAACATCTACACAAAAAACAGAAAAGCTGCTGGTAAATTTTAAAATATGGGTAAAATCCCTGTAAAACATCAATGTCAACAAATTGTAATAATAGAAGCATGTTTTACGGACCTTTCAGTTAAATACTTATTTATATATATATATGCATTTCATTTGAACGCTTTAAATAACATTCATTCATTAATTTTCCTTTATGCTCAGTCCCTCATTTATCAGGGGTTGCCACAGCAGAATGAACCGCCGCTTAAAATATCAGATTAAAAAAATCTAAAAGCATCTACAAGCTTGAGTATGGGATTCATACTTGATGATGAAAGGAAAAAAATGAAAGTGTATAAATCCTATTGAGCCATCAACTATATTTTTTGCTGTGCTCAGTTTTAGCCGCAGCACTAAAGATAAACTCTTTAATCTGTTGCGTCAGCTTTGAAAAACTTCTCAAATCATCTGTTTTATCGCAAGGCTGCCAGATTCTTTGTCTGAAGAGCACTTTTCAGCTTCTTCAAACTATTAAGAAACCGGAATATTAATAAAAACACGACAAATACAAAAAAGTTGTTTGCACCAAACCAAATAGATAAATAAATAAATAAATAAATAAATAAATAAATAAATACAAATCCTAAATGAAATGCTTTTATAAAGTTTAGAGAAAGCAAAGCGTGACCTCTGTCCATTCATTCACGCAACAAGCATTACTCGTATATTATTGTAAATGTCTGTGTTTTTTGTTTGACTTACAGCAGAGTTTAAGGCATGTAAATCTGAGCGCTCAAATGCAGAAGTCTGCCGTCTGTGTGTAAAAGTGCATGTATCTCTCTCTTTCATTTGTCGCTAGATTAACTTTAGGAAAAGTCACATTGATTTACAACAAAGGTAATTGGTCCCAAGTGGCTTTCCTCCACGGATGAGTAATGGAGTCTGCTAGTGAGGGGTGTGCATTGCATAATTTACAGCATCAGTATTAGTAAGGCTTTTCTGTGTTTACGTTAGCTCATTTTTCAGATAATACTAAAAAAACTTAACCCTAACACTCAGAATGCATCTTCTTTAGTGTTTTTCTACCTTTATTTTCAATCATCTTCATTTGATTTTTCCTCTTGCTGTCTAGTCAGAAGAATGAAGTCAGAATTATTCGTCCTGCTGTGAATTTTCTTGTTCTCTTTCCTAGTATTTCCCAAATGATACTTACCAGAGCAAGGCATTTTTTACAGTATTTCCTATGATATTTTTTCTTCGGCTAGAATAAAAGCAGTTTTAAATTTTTTTTAAGTGAAGTTTTAATTTAAACTAATTTCGGGAGGAGCACATGCTCATGATTGACCCAGCTGGCCCACATTAAATAATCATGATCCTCCAATCAAAGGACTCCAAGTCACTATATATATCCTCATTTCCTTTCTACAACTATTTTCGTCTGTAAGAAACCCCTCTTCTCCTCTTCTTCCACCTTTATCCAGAATGGGCGGCACGATGGCTCAGTGACTAGCACTGTTTCCTCACAGCAAGAATACCAATGGTGTTGGGTCCTCGCTGGGCCATCTGGTATTTCTGTGCGGAGTTTGCATGTTCTCCCCGTGTCCGCGTGGGTTTCCCCTGGGTCCCCCGGTTTCCTCCCACCTTCCAAATATGCTCTATATTATAGATAAAATAAGCCTAAATCTTTTTTCTAATGTCTTACTCTCAGGAAGTTCACCTTTGCTTCAGCAGCGGCAGAGTTTAAGAAAGAAAGGGGGGAGCCCTGGGCCCCGATGATTCCTTGAGCTCAGGGCTCTCTCCTGGGACAGCACGCCAAACAAGCTATGTGATTAATCATGAGCAAGTGTGAAGTTTATTTCTAAACTAATTTCGAGAGAATCACGTGCTTATGATTGCTTGCAGCTGGTCCTGCATTATTCTATGTATGATTCACCAATTAGACGATTCCTAACAGGGCCGGAGTGGGACTCTTTTTCAGCCCTGGAGTTTCAAGCCTCAGACCGGCCCACCTCAGTTCACCACTGACTATATTAAAATAAGGTCATTTCCAATTCAGTTTCTAATTACACTATCACATCTTTTTTTTAAAAACAGCTCTTTTAGAACTTCAAATGTTCAACAACCCTAACAGTATTATGTCTTAACAATAAAAATGAAAAAAATTGTTACTCAGACAAGGACCGAAACCAGGTTGGCCACGTCATAATCTAACGTACTTACCACTGTACCACAACAGCTGTACGTTGAGTGGTGACTTATCTAGTTATATCATCATTACCCTGCAGGCTGCATCCTGCTCACGAGGCTTCGAGAAAATAGATAAAAAGAGCAGAGCTGCGGTAAAATAATGAATAAGAAGGCTGTGGTCAAGTAAATAAATAAATAATTTTTAAAAAGTGTGACTGCTGAGAGCAACAGATTCTGGAACTAGGGACACCGGCCCTCACGGCCAAAAAACGGACCGGCCCACCGGGAATTCTCCCGGTCCTCCCGATTAGCCAATCCGGGCCTGATTCCTAAGCCACTATAAATACCCTAGATTTTACACCACAACCATCTTCGTATTGAAGAATAGCCACCTCTACTCCTCCTCCTTTGAAGATTGGTGGCCCAGTGGTTAGCACTGTTGCCTCACAACAAGAACGTTTCTAGTTCTAGTCTAACCAAGCCAGCCGACGTTTCTGTGCGGAGTTTGCACGTTCTCCCCGAGCTCACATGGGTTTTCCCCGGTTTCCTCTCACTGTCCAAAACATGCAACTTAAGTTAATAGACTAATCCAAATCTGCACCATAGACATGCTCCTAGTAAGTATTTATCTCTTAAGAGCAATCACTATCTGTTCATTAGCTACTACAGCAGAGGAGTTCTCGAGATCTACCTGAGCTCAAACTCCCCTCTCGCCTTGCAATGGGAGGGAGGCCCGGGCTTGAGGATCTTATGAGCTTAGGCCTCTCTCCCGGGACAGCATGCCAAACAAGCTTTAAAATCAATCATCAGCTAAGTGTGAACTCTTGAAATGTCACTACAAGCTGAATACTAGTATCTAGAAAAGTATCTAGTCAAATAGTATGTACTGTCATCATAGCAAAGATAAAAGTTATTAGAAATGAGTTGTTAAAACTATTATGTTTAGGAATGTGTATTAAAAAAACAGTAATTGGGGGGACAAATTTACAGAGAGGCTAATAATTCAGGAGGTCTAATAATTCTGACTTCAACTGTATATCAACTGAGTCTCAACCATAGTAAACAAACATTAACAGGTTGTATTTTTCTGTCAGGTTATGGGACAGTAGCAGTCGACGGAATTCCCAGTTACGGTCACACACCTACACAACACTCTCCTCCGTTCCCTAATGACACCTTCAAACACGAGGACCCGATGTCTCCGCAAAGCACCATGGGTAGGAACAGTACAGCATGCACTGTAATATTCATCATTAATTTTCGTTCGGGTTAGTCCCTTTATTCATCAGCGGTTGCCACAGCAGAATGAACCGCCAACTAAATCAGCATATGTTTTACACAGCGTTCTAGCTGCAACCCAGTACTGGGAAACACCCATACACACCCATACACACATAAACTACAGCCAATTTAGTTAATCCACTTCACCTAAAGCTCATGTGTTTGGACTGTGGGGAAAACCAGAGCACCTGGAGGAAACCCACGTCGTCAACACAGGGAGAACGGGGTTTCCTCCTGGAGCTCCAGTTTCCCTCATTCCAAACACATGCGCTATTGGTGAATTGAATAAACTAAATTGTCCGTAGTGTATGTGTGTGAATGAGTGAGTATGAATGTTTCCAGTCATGGGTTGCAGCTAGAAGGGCATCCGCTGTGTAAAACATGCTGGATGAGTTGGTGGTTCATTCCGCTGTGGCGACCCCTGATGAATAAAAGGACTAAGCTGAAGCAAGATGACTGAACGAATAAAAGCAATAATGTTTCTCAAGTGTGTTATGTGTTATTTTCATAAATAAATATCTATAAAGTCTATCTCTTTTCCACAATGTCTGTGCAGGGCAATGAATATGAGTGCATTTAAGTATATCGCATGACACAAAAGATGTATAGATATCTGGAAATTCATCGCAAGGATCATCCTGAGGTTAAGTGTCAGATGGGGTTTAATGTCAAGGCAGTAAATACTCCGATTTCCCCCATCCTGCTCTCATTTTTACCTCTCCTTCTCCTTCCTGAAACACTCAAATCACTGTATGCAACAGTCTTAAAGTTCATTAAGCATAAATTATACCGGCGTAAATTATCACCTCTTTTCGTTGGGCAACTTACAGAAGCAAGCAGAGTAGTGGATGTGAATGTTTATAATGGCGTCAGGGGACTGATTTAGTTTCTCCTGCCCTCAGAATCTCTCTGACTGCTTTATAGTCTTGTGCTGTTTTGATAACCGCAGTAAAGACGAGGCCACACGCTCTGTTTGTTCTCCAGTGAAATGCTTTGTTTGACTCATAAACAGGAAAGCTCAGAGATGAGGCTTTTGGAGATGATTTTTTCTAACACTCTCAGAATTAAAGAGCTCCTTATGCATTATAAAGGTCATATTTTGGTTTTAGGGGTCTCCAAAAACAGGCTGATATTCATGCAAGATCAAAAAACACTTTTTATTGTCTTATAATATGCATTTATTCTTACCTAACTATGCCAATGACATATTTGACAACGATTTATTTGTTCCCAAACCCTTTCTTTGTGTGAGGCTAATCTGCGATTGGTTCGATGACTGTTGTGATTGGTCGACTATGTTCAGTGCGAGACAAAGAGAAACACCCAACATGGCTATGAAGTAACAGAGAGAATGAAATGCAGAGAATCATTAAAGCAATGCAGTTAAACACCAGCATATACTCTATTCTTAACCACAACCCCACATAATAACAATAGTTTTAAACAAGGTGCATTATTAGATTTAAACCTCAGCTGGATGTTTTTATTCACTTAGAGGAGTGTTACACACTGCACCCAGATAGCTTACGAATGTGGGCCACTTTAGGCAGTTATGCAGTTACACTGGTGGTATTCCTTCGGCCCAGACAAAATAAATGTGAGCCTGAAGTGGCCCACCTGTACAATGGCAGAGGGAGGCCAAAGATTCAAATTCATATATGGGCCATGTAAGGGAAAGATTTGGCACTTATGGCAAAATGTAATCGTAATGTGAGCCCAATGTGGCCCATGTGGAAAATGATCAATTTGGCCCAAATGACAGAGAAAAACCTGGGCCACAGTTTGCAAAATAGTGGCATAGTCATTTAAAGGTAATCTGGGTCTAAACCTAAAGTGGCTCACATGTGTAGGTGCAAATGTGGCCCAGTTATTTATAAGACATATGTGAGACACTTTTGGCAAATATTAGGCTCCGTAAACTCCGGCTAATGCAGCCATTAGTCTATAGTGGCTTAGAGAAGATGTGGAAAATGTGGCCCAGTTATCTTAAAACATATGTGGGCCACTTTTTGGTGAATATTCAGCACAGTAAGCTATGGCTAATGTTGATTTATGCCTATAGTGGCCCAGAGAAGACAGGACAAATGTGGCCCAGTTATCCTAAAACAAATGTGGGCCACTTTTGGCAAATATTTGGCACAGTTAGCTCTGGCTAATGTGGCTGTGAGCCTAAAGCGGCCCAGAGGAGATATGGCAAATGTGGCCTGGTTATCTTAAAACATATGTGGACCACATAGACTAAAGTTTCCATCATGGAGAAAAGTGTTTGCTTTAGTTGGGCTCATAGCCCTGAACCTCCTAATATAAATTTTATTTTGGGCTGCTGTCACTTTTAAGAACTTTGCTTGTAAAGTTTGTTCATTACAGCAAACAAAATGAAGTTGGGCATAACCTGTGATGAAATAATATAATTCACTGATGTTTACAATGTTTAATCCATTATTAGAAGTAATTGACCAGATCTGGGCCAGAATAAAAGCAAACTGTGGCCCTGAATAGGTTCAGTTCTGGTTCATTGGGTTGAATTCTGGCTGATATGTGATATTGCTTTGGCTTATTGGTGGCCCAGATCTGACAAACAGAAGCGTGCAATCATTCCATGTGGTATGTGGGCCGGATACAAGTGTCTGGTGTGGGCTGGATTTGAGCAACATGAATTTTGCTAGCTGGGAATGGATGGTCATTTTCAAAATCCCATAATAATCCCAAAATCCCTTAAACAGTACAAACTCTCTCACTGGGGTGGTACCTTTTTAAAGGCTACACACTTTTGTACCGTACAGGGGGATATTTGTAAAAGAGAGGGATAAAGGATGAGAAAGTGGGATGGGAAGGTGGTTTGGATGAGTAATCAGAGTTTGTGATTTTCAATTTAACGTAACCTTTTGTTTGTGTTTTTTGCTGAGCTACAAAAAGCCACCTGAAATTAAATGTTTTAATTAAAGGAGTCAGACTTTCAAAATGTAAATAGTAGACAGAGAGAGAACAATGCACAAGACTTCACTGAGCAAATCAAGACAAAGGCAGGAGCAGCTCGATTAGTGTATTCAGCATTGAACAACATTGTGTTATAAATAGGATTGTTTATGCATTAGTTTTCTACTTTTTCTAGTTATTTTAAAATATTAGCAAATAAATTATGAAATTACCCGTGACAAAATTAATGTAATAGGGTTTGGTGTTTGGTTTTTGGCCGACTATAAGAAACAGTTTGAGCACCCCTGCTTTAAGGTTTACTTTTGTATCTTTAAAGTACTGTGAGGGACACATTTGCATTTTTTAGGCATTAATATGTACTTTTGATGACCTGTTTGGAACAAAAGTGTACCTTAAGAAAAAGTACCGCCTCAGTGAATGGTTTTGCACCTTTATTTCTGAGAGTGAATGTGTGATGTGTTTTTTTGTGTGCAGGTGAGCAGCAGTTCTCCGTCCCGCCGCCTGTATACGGCTGTCACAGTCCACCAGATCAGACGCTGCTTCTAAGAAACTCCTTAAACAGGTGCCTGCTTCACATTTTCTGATTATATTGACAGTGTTGACAAACTTACAATTGAAGTCTGAATTATTAGCCCTCCTGAATTATTTTTCCCCCAATTTCTGTTTAATGGAGTGCAGATTTTTTTCAACACATTTCTAAACAAAATAGTTTTAATAACTCATTTCTTATAACTGATTTATTTTATCTTTGCCGTGATAACAGTTTTCAAGATACTAGTTTTCAGCTTATAGTGACATTTAAAGGCTTAATTAGGTTAATAATAGGTCAATAATTAATGATATTGACCTTAAAAATGTTTTTTAAAAATTAAAAACTTTAATTCTAGCTGAAATAAAACAAATAGGACTTTCTCCATGCAATAAATAAGATAATACAAAGAAAAATACAATATATTGCAGCATAGAGGAAGCAGTCATGAATTCCAAGAAGTCCCAGAAATATGCTGAAAATGTTATGCAATAAATAAAGTGATATTCCTTGATATTATCTAACGACAGTATCTAATACTTGCTTTTGAACAACACAGAAAACAGTTCTGCTTTGAAAATTGTTAACAGTTTAATTACAATTGATTATGCATCTCTACAGCACATGCAACTAAAATAACTCGCGTTATAACCCAACCATATAGTAGGTACATGTACTGAGTTAATATTACTCAGTAGTTAAATGAATATATACACTTTAACAATGACACACCTTCATTAGTCAATGTATTTATTAATATAAACTAATAATGAGCAATACTTGCATTTATTAATCATAGTTCAACATTTACTAATGCATTATTCAAATCTAAATGTAATTGTTAATGCACTGAGTTAACACAACTAATAATGTACAGCTTTATTTTAATTAACAAAGATGAACAAACACCATAGCAACTGTATTGCTTATACAGTAGTTTGTTCCTGTTTATAAATACATTAACTAATGCAACCTTTTTGTAAAGTTACCAAAAAAAAAAAAAGTAAGTTTTGCTCGGTAGTATATTTTTATCTGCTAATTCCCACATGATGCACTCTCAATCTGTTCTGCGGTGTTCAAGAACATTTCATAAACGCTGTTGTTAGAGCTGAACTTGTATTGAACTTGGATCATTCTGGCACGTTCATCAGTGTGTGCAGAAACGCATGTATATCACCGATGTGTGTGTATGCTGTGGCACTGCAGTCTGCACAGCTCAGATAAATCCTCTGTAAAGTCTTTCTGTCTGCACAAAGGTTAAGAACCGCACAGCAGCTCTCCCCAGGCCAAGATACACTCACAGTGATCTACTGCACGTTTCCTCCAAATTCCTCGTCTCTTCTCTGCCTGACCTTCTTCAGAGACAGTCGTGTAGACACAGGGGAGCTTTTGATCAGATTCTTCCAAGCCCTTGCGTCGCTGGATTCAAAAGAAGCAATTGGCTTTATGCACAAGCTAGTGTTTTTCAGGCAACAATGATCTTCCGGTGAAAGTTTATAAGGTTTCATAAGGCTCCTTCTACAGCACCGATGTTGTAATGTAATCAAACATAATCAGTTAAATAGGCTTAAGCATTCATTTTGTTGTTAAAGCAAAACAAAGAGATGAAAGACTGTTTAAATGCATGTGCTTTCAGGAGCAGCAGATGAACACAGTAAAAAGACATAGCACAGAAAAACGAAATGTAATGCAGTGCTTCTTGTTTGGTCTGAGACCCCCTTCATAGCGTATCTCAGTCAGGCAGTGGTGATCACTGGTTTTTAAGTAAATCAGACTCTACTCTGCAAATAGTGTATGGCATGTCCTGAAAATGTATGGGATGCATTGTATTTTTATTTACAAAAACAAACAAATCTTCCCAAAAGTATAACTTGAAGATCTCAAGACGGACATGAACAGATCACAGACCCTAATATTGCATAACAATAGCTCAATTTGGGCTGTTAGGCCTGGCTAAAACAAGGCTTAATTTGGGCTATTAGTGTACATCTAATAGACGTCTAATAATAGTCAAAATCTAGACTAACCATTAAATCGACTAACATGATAGACTACTCATGTAAAGTCTGTCTATTTGATGACTAGTCTACTTTTTGACAATTATTAGACATCTATTAAATTGATCGCAAGACGGACATGAAGAGAGCACCCTAATAATCCATGACAATAGCTCAATTTGGGATATTGGCTTGGCTAAAACAAGGCTAAATTTGGGCTATTAGTGTAAATCTAAAAGACGTCTAATAATAGTCAAAATCTAGACTAAAAATCAAATATACTGAAATGAATGACTAAACATGTGGAGTCAGTCTATATGATGACTAGTCTAGATTTTGACATATATTAGACACCTGTTCGATTGATCTCAAGGGGAACATGAACAGAGCACCCTAATATTCCATGAAAATAGCTCAATTTGGGATATTGGCTTGGCTAAAACAAGGCTAAGTTTTGGCTATTAATGTAAATCTAATAGATGTCTAATAATAGTCAAACACTAGACTAACCATCAAATAGACTGAAATGAATGACTAGACGTGGAGTCAGTCTATATGATGACTAGTCTAGATTTTGCCAATCATAGACATCTATCTATATTCACTGATCGCCCAAATTTAACCTTGTTTTAGCCAAGTCCCTTAAATGTTTATTCAGCACAAAAAAAAATGCTTCGGTGCTTGTATTTTTATAAAGTAAAATGCACTGAAAATGACATGCTGAGCATGCATGACGTGAGCAGTGAAGACTGCAGCCAGTAAATACATTTCTTCTTCTGTCTCATTTATGCTGTTGTTTGTTTTCTAGTGTAGATGTACTGACGGACAAAAGCATTACCATAGAAACCAATGCAGATATGCTACAAAAGAAAAGAGCGCAACAGGACATGCATATTCCCAGGAGGCACACAGCGTCATAAGTTAATTTTAGGTTGTGATGTCAGGTGACCAAAACTCAATGCCCGCCAGCAACTAAGCAGAACATTATTCTGATGTCCAATAATGACTTCAAAAGATGTTGAAATTTGGTTGATTTTAGGTTGTGTTGGAAAGTGACCAAAATCCAACATCGAGACAACATCTTAAAATCAACATAATACTGACATTTATTCATTAGGTATTGCAACCAAAATCCAACGTATGATAGACGTCATAGTGGTAATGTCCACAAAAAGTCAAGCTGTAACATCATTAGATGACGTTGACAATTAGTTGTTGTTAGGTTGTGTTAAAGTGGCCAAAATTCAACCCTATTCAGATATTGTGTACTGACGTCAACACGATTTTAATTTCCACCCAAAATGCAATGTCCCACAATGTTAAAGTACAGTGTCAATCTGACATCATTTTGACGTCCTTTAGGCATGAATGACTAAACAAGGAACAGGTGGACACAATAGTTATGACTTCTAGAGGTAAGCCATGACAGAAATAGTGTTTTTGTATTAGAAAGAAAACAATATGAATAGAATTGTATTATAAGTTATCAAAGAATGTGTAGAATCAGAGATTTGCAAAAATTAAAGTGATTTATTGTTTTTGAGAATCTCTTCAGCAACTGACAAGGACAAAATAAACAATCACTTTTTAACTGCAATCATGTAACGAAGAGTCTGACACAGAGGGATCCATGTGCAGTACATTTATTAAACAGAGTTTAATAACAATCAGCACACAGATGTTAAGCATGTGCGTACTCGCATCAAACACAGTTGTAGTTAGTCGAAGGGCTGGTGGCAGGCAAACACAAGGTGAGTATTCAGGCATGGGTCAAAGGCAGGCAGCGAGGATCAGAGTCGGTATGCAGGCTAGAGTTCAGGGCAGGCGGGAGGCAATACAAGGTCGAGATACAGTCCGGGGTTATACACAGGAAAGCAGGCAATGATCAGAAACGCTCAGTCGTGTTGGCCGGGGTACTTCGCACTAAAGTAGCGTGTGTGTGCTGCTTATATGTGTGAGGTAAGTGATTAGGGAATGTGGTGCAGGTGTATGTGCCAATCAGTCAGTGGGAATGAAATAATGCTTAAAAGTCCGGTGATGATGACCTCTGCTGGCCAGCGAGGGGAATGACTGGCACAGAGTCGGTGACAGACTAAATACTCTAGCCAAGCAAAATAACCTGCCAATAGGGTAAGCAAGATACTATTATTTCAAAACGCAGACAAGATTATTTAGCCTATTTTAAAGAAAAACTCACTTTATATTGACTTCATATTTTCAAAAACAAGACATTGTTTTGCTTCTCTGGAAGATGCTTCTTGATTTAAGAATTTTTAGATATTTAGATTCGAAACAAGACAAAAACTCTTAAGTAAGAAAAGCATTTTTTCAGTGTGCCAACACAAAATAAGTTAACAAATTTAAGTGGACTGAACATAAAACAATTACGTTGTCCCAAAAAAATAATTTTAAATAAATGATATATAAATAAAATGAAATAAAGTTTTCATTTTAAATAAATAGCTTGAACAAGCAGCAAAACATTTTTATTTTTTTTAGTTCGGGTCTTAACACAATAATATTTTAATATATTCTTAATTTTTCTAAAACAGCTGTATTATATTCAAACACTTTCAAAAATAATTGATATGTGGAATTAAGCTGATTTTCAGCAGATATTAGTCCAGTTTAACAGTATTCATTCTTCAGAAATCTGTCTAATATGATATTCAATGAGTAGAAATGTAAATAAAGCAGATTTTCTCAATATTCACTTCTTTCAGCTAAAGAACAATCTTGACAGATCCTGCATGGTGACCATGACTTTAGTATTTTGCTGAGCATTTCTTTTCATGTCCCATTGAAATTTAACAGCACACATATCTGGAACAACATGAAAGCGAGGAATAACAATTTTTAATTTTGGGGGGTAAAATCAAATCAAAGTGTAAAAGAAGAAGGAGATTAAAGAGAAATGCAACTCATCACCGGTGACACAGGAATCAGTGTGCATTCTTTAAATCCCGCTCTCACGCTGTTTAAAGGAAAACCAGATCACAAACCCCAAAACAAGGCATCCAGATTTGATAAGACCTGAACGTTCTTCCCCCTCCTCACTAAACAACTTTTGGAAGGCTTCAGATGAAAATAAAAAAACTAATTGAGTTGCATCAGCCTGGTACTGTTGCACTGTGTTCCAGTGACCTCACAAACCTCTGTTTCTGGCAATAAAGTGAGATTAGATGGGAACCAAAAGGGAAATTCCACCTTATTTTTCATAAGTGTTTGGCTTAGAAACAGTCTCTTGCATTTCAAAACACTGGTATGAGCTGTAATGGAAGTCATTTATTAGGAATGTGGCAACCCGTCATAAACCATTAATGAAACATTATCGTTTTAAAACATAGCTTAAAGCTTCTTAGTTTTCTAAATAATTAATTTAATTTAATTAAATTTTTTATATTATTTTGTATTATATTATATTATATTATATTATATTATATTATATTATATTATATTATATTATATTATATTATATTATATTATATTATATTATTTTACTTATTTATTTTATTATTTTAGTTTAGATAATAAAGAAAGCAATAATTTTAATTTTAAATATATTAAATTATTAATTTTATGTTTATTTTCTAAAAATATTTATCTAATATTTATATTAAATATTTAAAAATATATATATATATTTTTTTGTTTTATATTATATTATATTATATTATATTATATTATATTATATTATATTATATTATATTATATTATATTATATTATATTATTTAGATTATTATTTTATTTGAGATAATAAAGAAAGAAATAATTTAAATTTCAAATATATAAAATTATTAATTTTAAGTTTATTTTTAAAAAAATATTTATCTAATATTTATATTTAATATATATTTTTACCTATTATATTATATTATATTATATTTAATTATATTATATTATATTATATTATATTATATTATATTGTATTATATTATATTATATTATATTACATTATATTATATTATATTGGTGTAATAAACTGAATTAATAATTAATAAAGAGGAATTAATAAACTGTAATAAGGTCAAAATAACCATAAACAAATATCTGACCTTCAAAATCAGTTCACAGCCAAGGGAAAAACTGCATGAGTCAGGACTATTTCCCCAAATCCTTTCCACGATACCCAGAAATCAACATGACATCATCACACGTATTACATGATTGTGCCAGGCACTCGATGCGCCAGCGAGGACTACGTGAGATTTGTCTCTTTACAACATGTGGTGCAACACATTGATGTGTGTGTGCGTCTCTGATTTTGCTGCTTCGTTAGAAAACATGGTTATGAGTCAGTGATGAATAGTTTTAGACGTGACCAAACCACACTGCTGACGATCTGCATTTATACCCAAAAATAACACTAGATGAATAATATTGACATTATTCAATGTGCTTCAGCTCATGTTTTTATTTTTTATTCTGTTTTTGGCCTCTGGGTGTTGTTTGAGAAACAGAAGTAAAAGTTCTCATGTCTTCTTTTCTCCTGTGCTCTGCCAGTGATAATCTGTACCAAATGAAGTCTCAGCTGGAGTGTGTGGCCTGGAATCCTGTTAGCTCACTGACGCCCAGCATCAAGAGGTACACTCATCTACACCACTTCCTCTACACTTTATTTCCTTTCCTTTCATATTTTGTTTTCTTTCTTTTCCGGTTTTCACAACCATTTTCTTTGTCTCTTTTCTTTATGACTTTTTCTTGTTTTTTTCCCTTTCAATTCCTTTTAATTGCCTTTTCCTGTCTGTTTTATTTCCATTTCATTTCCTTTTTCTTTTCTTTTCCTTTTTCTTTGCCTTCACTTCTCTTCCCTTGCCTTCCTCATGACCATTTCTCTCTCCTTTCCTGTTTTCACAACTATTCCCTCTTCTTCATAAGTGTTTTTCTTTCCTTCATTTAATTTCCATTCCTGACTATTTCCAGTTTTCACAACTTTCCTTTCCTCTCTTTTCTTCATGACTATTTCCTTTTCCTTTACGTTTCTTTACTGACTATTTCCTTTTCCTTTCCTTCCCTTTCCTTAGACCATTTCATTTACCTTTCTTGTTTTCACAACTATGTCCTTCCCTCTTTTTTCTTCATGACTATTTCCTGCTCATTTTTCTTTCCTTTCCTTTGATTTCTTTTCTTTTCATTTTCATTTCTTTTCCTTTTAATTCCCTTTAATTTCCCCATGACCATTTCCTTTTTCTTTTCTGTTTTCTCAACTATTTCCTCTATATTCAACTATTTCACACTTTTTCATGACTATTTTCTTTTCATTTCCTTTTCTCTCCTTTTATTCAATTTCCTTTCCTTTCCTTTCCTTTCCTTTCCGCTTTTCTTCATGACAATTTCTTTGCATGTTGCCTTTTCTTTCCAGTCCCTTTCCTTTTCCTTTCCTTTCATTTTCTTTCTTTTCTTTTTCGTTTCTTTTCTATTTGCTCCATTTCTTTTAATTTTTCCCTTTCCTTTCCTTTCTCCCCTCTTCCCTGTCCTCATGACCAGTTTATTTCCTGTTATCAGGACTAGTTTTTTCCTTTCCTTTCCTTTCCTTTCCTTTCCTTTCCTTTCCTTTCTTTTCCTTTCCTTTCCTTTTCCCCCTCTTTCCTTTCCTCGTGAACATTTTATTTCCTGTTTTCACGACTAGTTCTTCCTTTCCCTTTCCTTTGTTTTCCTCTGCTTTCTTTTTCGTTCCTTTCCTTTGTCATGACTGTGTTTGTCCTCAAGATGCCACTGTAGTTCGCCAGCTACTCCCAGCGAACTACAGTGGCTTAAGAACTACATTTCCATACATTCTTTCGCGCACACACCCGGTCTGTCATCTACACTGATTTGCAACCACAGCTGTCTCCGTTCTCCGTTGATTACCTGGACTATATATTCAGTCATTCATGCTCTGTTTGTCAGTTGGTCGTTGTCGTCTTTATTGGTATGTGTTCCTGATCCTGCTCTGTATCTTGTCTTAGTTGTCAAAGTCTAGTTCGAGTTTTATACTGTTTGAGTCCTCGTTCGTTTGTTTGTTTTGTTTGTTACTTTGTGGATTTTTTTGTATTTTTTTTTGTCACTTTCACTGCACAATCCTCATTAAAATCTGCACTTGGATTCTACACCTGTTTTTGTTCCTGTTTTGATCCCGTATCGTGACATCCTTACCCTTCCCTTTTCTTCCCTTTCCTCATGACTATTTCTTTTTCGTTTTCCTGACTATTTCCAGTTTTTATAACTATTCCCTGTTCTCTCATTTCTTCATGACTATTTCCCGTTACTTTTCCTCTTCATTTTCATTTCATTCTTTTTCTCTTTCTCTTTACTTTCCTTTTTTCATTTCTATTCCTTTCCCCTTTTCCTTTTTACTTCCTTTTCCCTTTCCCCTTCCCTTGGCTTTTCCCCTTCCCTGTTTTGACACAGTCCAGCAAGGAGTGCTACAGAAATACAGCAGACATGTTTTAAAGGAAGCTCTGTGTGTATGATCCTCACTGTGCTATAAAACAGCCTGAAGCAGAGTATGAATTATGCAGTGGTGACAGCAGACGAGATACCAAACCGTCCCGTTCAGTCAAGCGGCCCAGCACAGATAGAGTTTCTGTGTTTTTCTGAGAGAGATACAGACTACCTAAAGTCCCTCAGCGCTGACATTTTCCTACTGATTGAGTGTCTGTGTGCTCGTCCGTGTAGGCAGATGAACTGGTGACTGCGATGCTGAACAGAATATTTATGCCAGATAAAAGATTCGGTGTCCACCTTGCTCACCCCCCCTCTCCATGACAACAGGGTGTTTATCTAGTGTACGGATGAATGGATGGGCTGTGGGAGGACTGCACCAGCAATGGCTGATTGTGTGTAGACTGAAATGTGAAGTGAGCTGGACAAAGAGAAAGCTCTTCATCCGTTACTGCCCACACTACAAATCTCCCAGCACACCAACAGTCCTCCTTCCCTATCATTTATGACCGTTCAAGCAGCTTTACATGATTATTTTTGGCTTCAACAACATCCTTTTGTTAATGAGGACGGATTGGTTCATAGAGGTAGCATTAGTAAGAATATAGGGTGATGCTTTAGTTTAAATACAATTCATACTATTTACTACTGGCTTATTGCCTAAGATATGAACTGTTTATTAGCATGTATTAAGTATGATCTTATTTTGCATCCCTATTCATACCTAATACCTAAACCCAATTACTATATTACTAAGTACACTGTAAAAAATGTAGGTAAATGTCCAGTTTTAGTATTTTGTGATCGATGTTTTTATTTTTCCCCATTTATTTACGCTTTTGAAAAGCCTTATGTGACCTTAATCTTTCTTCTGACAACTTTTAACCTTAAAAAGTTGGGGAAAAAAATGACGTGTATTAACATTATTAACTTGGATTAACATGCACTATTTTCTGTCATTTTACAGATGTATTTCTCTATATATTAATTCTTAGACGTTATTCCAAACTATTAAAAAGTCAATAAAAGTCACTTTGTTAAACTGTAGAGTTGAATTTTCTACATTAAAAGTCGACAGAGCAGAGATCAACATCCCATAATGACTTCACAACTGTAAATAAACGGAAACACAAAATACGGAAAAAACTGTTACGTGTACTAAAAAGCAGCTAATTAGTAGTTTATTGAGCTAAAAGTGTTTGCTTTGTAAATAGCGTGAATTCCTTTTCCTTTTCTTATGCCCATTTAATTTACCTTTCCTGTTTTTTAAAAACTATTTCCTTCCCTTTATTTTCTTCATCACTATTTCCTGCTTCTTTTTCTTTCCTTTCCTTTCCATTCCTTTCCATTCCTTTCCTTTCCATTCCTTTCCTTTCCTTTCCTTTCCTTTCCTTTCCTTTCCATTCCATTCCTTTCATTTCCTTTCCATTCCTTTCCTTTCCTTTCCATTCCTTTCCATTCCTTTCCTTTCCATTCCTTTCCTTTCCTTTCCATTCCTTTCCATTCCTTTCCTTTCCATTCCTTTCCTTTCCTTTCCATTCCATTCCTTTCCTTTCCTTTCCTTTCCATTCCTTTCCTTTCCATTCCATTCCTTTCCTTTCCTTTCCTTTCCTTTCCATTCCATTCCATTCCATTCTTTTCCTTTCCTTTCCTTTTATTGGTTCAGCCTTAGTTAATGGTTTGCTAATAGCAGGAATTACATATTAAAATAAAATATGACTGAATATAGTGTGGCGATGCGGTGACGCAGTAGGTAGTGCTGTCGCCTCACAGCAAGAAGGTCGCTGGTTCAAGTCTCGGCTGGGTCAGTTGGTGTTTCTGTGTGCAGTTTGCATGTTCTCCCTGTGGGGGAGAATGTGGGTGGGTTTCCTCCGGGTGCTTCGGTTTCCTTCACAGTCCAAAGACATGTGGTACAGATTAATTGGGTATGCCGAAGAGAAAATGAATGAATGAATATAGTGTTTGGGGTTGTGTGTTTGTGATCAGTTTCTCTGCTGTCTGTAACACATCTCTGTCTTTTCTCACAGCTCCAGTTATGAAACTGAAGCATCTTCAGGAGCACCTCCTCTGGTCTACAGCTGCAGCACACAGTATCACATACACACACATGGGTTGTTCAGAGGATTACAGGTGCGTGACTGAAAATATACACACAAGCAAAACACACACTCATACACAAACGTTTTACATGTACACCGACAAATGTGATTCGCATAGCATGCATAGATTCACTGGCCACTTTATTAGGTACACCTTATTTGTACTGGGTTGGACCCCCTTTTGCCCTCAGACCTGCCTTATTCCTTTGTGGCATAGAGGCAGTAAGATAGTGGAAATATTCCTCTGTGATTTTGGTCCATATTGACATGAAAGCATCATACAGTTGCTGCAGATTTGTCGGCTGCACATCTATGATGCAAATCTCCACCACATCCCAAAGGTGCTCTATTGGATTGAGATCTGGTGACTGTGGAGGTCGTTTAAGTTTAGTGAACTGCCATGTTGAAGAAACCAGTCTGAAATGATTCACGCTTTATGACCTGGCGAGTTATCCTGCTGGAAGTCATCAGAAGATGGGTACACTGTGGTCATAAAGGGATGGATACGGTCAGCAACAATACCAAAGCGTGCCAAGGAAATATCCCCCACACCATTACACCACCATCCTGAACCGTTGATACATGGCAGGATGGATCCATGCTTTCATGTTGTTGACGCCAAATTCTGACCTCTGACCTCAAAAAGGCATTTACACCCACAGAACTGCCGCTCACTGGACATTTTCTCTTTTTCAGACCATTCTCTGTAAACCCTAGAGATAGTTGTGCATGAAAATCCCAGTAGATCAGCAGTTTCTGAAATACTTAGACCAGCCCGTCTGGCACCAACAACCATGCCACATTCAAAGTCACTTAAATCACCTTTCTTCCCCATTTTGATGCTCGGTTTGAACTGCAGCAGATCGTCTTGACCATGTCTACATGCCTAAATGCATTGAGTTGCTGCCATGTGATTGGCTAATTAGAAATTTTTATTAACTAGCAGCAGGACAGGTGTACCTAATAAAGTGGCCAGTAAGTGTTTACTTTTGTTACCAAAATGCAGTTGGTTAATAAAATGGTTAATGATACAATCACTTTAGAAGCAGTTAAATCTTAGATGTTATTAATAAGTTGCGATATGCTTTTAGTGTTAAATCAGGACTGTTATATAAGCTTATATTGCCACCCGGTCAAAACTGACCCAGGAATGCAAAAGTGGTGTGCAGAATATGAATGCATGAGGTGGATTAAATCTATGGCTGTTTGCACACCAACATGACTTAACTCAGGAAAGTCTTTTAATGTACACAGACTGCTGGTGTTCAATGCATGCGTGCGTTTGGTATTAATAAACATCCATCAGAGCTCTGGAAGGCTGATAGTGTCCAGAGAATAATGTGCATATATGTATGTTTACAGTGGTAAAGCTTTCCCATCAAGGCTTTTAAAAGCTGCACTGATATTTGCCAGGCCTCAAGATAAGATGCAGAACTTCAAACAAACAGAGCCTCAGAAGTGCAGCAGAGTTGGCCAGTGGAGTTTGTTGATTGCCAATTATACTCCGGTTTTTAAATGTTTTTTTTTTGTTCTGTCCAGGATGTGCGGCGAGTACCAGGCATCCCTTCCTCCGGTAAATCATCATCAGACAGCAGTGAGAAACGGCCGTTCGTCTGCTCTTATCCAGGCTGCAGTAAGAGATACTTCAAACTGTCCCATCTGCAGATGCACGGCAGGAAACACACAGGTGATTTTCATCACACACAACAAATATAGGACTTAACACCCAGCTTCAGATTAATAATTAGTATATTCAAATTTTTTAATTTTTTTTAAAGATGAAATGAAAATCTAAAGTATTATTTACTCAACCTGGTGTTGTTTTAATATCATATGGGTAATGTGAAGGGGACGGTTCACGGTCAACACAGGGGAAAACAGGTGTGTACAAGAAATCCCGAGTCGTGGTCATTACACAGGCAAGTGGTCAGTACAGGCAGGCAGCAGACAACGTAAACAAACAAACAAACTAGGCAAGGGTCAAAACAGGTGCGTGTGAGCAGTGCATGACTGGAACTTGTGGTCAATATACTGGCGGATTTGTAGTCCTTTAGCAATCTGCCTGTTAACCAGAGAACTGCCAGGATTAGATCACAGGTGATTGAGACAATATGCCCTTCTTTTCCACAAATATAGAAACAAAAAGGTTAAAAGATGATCAAAGCATGGTCTGCACTGTGTATATAAATACATATATATGTGTGTGTGTATGTATGTAGGCCTATATATATATATATATATATATATATATATATACATACACCAAATGTAGCCTTGGTTGATTTTAGATTACGGTGCTTTTTTGGGCCCTCTAAGTTGCACAAGAACGAACAGAAATAATAAGCATCTGGAGTGAGTTATGTGACCTCGCAGCTCTGTTTTACTGATAAACACTTGATTTATGACGCTTGGAGAAAACAACAAGTAGAACCCGGGCATTCAGACAGTGCCCTCGTGTGGACGCTTTGTGTTTACGCCAGAGACTTCTATTTTGTTTGGCGTCTTTTAAGTTTAGTCCTTAACAAATATAATGCGATATGTAAACTAATGTGATTGAGGATTATGTTTTTTTTTGTGTGTGTGTGGTGTTCAGGGGAAAAGCCGTATCAGTGCGATTACACGGGCTGCGGCCGCCGCTTCTCCAGGTCTGACCAGCTGAAGAGACACCAGCGCAGACACACAGGTCAGAAAACACCCCTACACACACACATTCTGTATTCATTATACAATAACTTGCCTAATTACCCTAACCTGCCTAGTTTACCTAATTAACCTAGTTAAGCCTTTAAATGTCACTTTAAGATGTATAGAAGTGTCTTGAAAAATATCTAGTGAAATATTATTTACTGTCATCATGGCAAAGATCAAATAAATCAGTTATTAGAAATTAATTATTAAAACTAATATGTTTAGAAATGTGTTGGAAAAATCTGCTCTCTATTAAACAGAAATTGGGGAAAAGATAAACAAGCAGTCTAATAATTCAGGGGGGCTAATAATTCTGACTTCAACTGTATATTTATTTTTACATATAAAAATTATTATATTTACAAATATATAATTTTTTTACATAACATCTACATATGTGTGTATTATATATATATATAATGTATAATATATGTTATATATATATATATATATATATATATATATATATATATATATATATATATATATATATATATATATATATATATATATTTTTTTTTTTTTACATACAACCAACCACCAATATTTAAGTATTTTTAATAATCCAAAGGATAATTTTCCTGTACAGTATCATTTGTAGAATCTTGTCATATTTAAATAAAACACTAATGAATGTTGTACTTGGCGGTTCATTCCACTGTGGCAACCCCTGATAAATTAGGGACCAAGTTGAATGAATATTGTACTTCATGAATGGCAAATCTAGAGAAAATAGGAAAACTTGGAAGTGCTCACTTAAGATTCCCCTCCCACCAATCAAATGCTGTTCACTACAATTCCACCTCGCACTAATTAATCCCTTTGACATTTATGAAATACCATGAGCCGACAGCTGTGTGTGTGTGTGTGTGTGTGTGATATCCTGCAGGCGTCAAACCCTTTCAGTGTGAGACGTGTCAGAGAAAGTTTTCACGCTCGGACCACCTGAAGACACACACGCGGACTCATACAGGTAAAACAAGTGCGTAAGACTCCTCTTTCAAACCTCTCATTAACCATTTCATCCATTAGTTGCGGATGAACAGACTTGATTAAAATGTGTGTGTGTGTGTTGTCTCAGGTGAGAAGCCGTTTACGTGCCGCTGGCCGAGCTGTCAGAAGAAGTTTGCTCGCTCAGATGAGCTGGTCAGACATCACAGCATGCATCAGAGAAACATGAGCAAACTGCAGCCCACCGTCTGACACACACACACACACAGAAACACACACACTGACCCGTACACCAGGGGTGACCTGATGACATCACAACTCATTCATTTTCCTTCGGCATAGTCCCTTTATTCATCAAGGGTCGCCACAGTAGAATGAACCGCCAACTTATTCAGCATATGTTTTACACAGTGATTGTTGGGAAACATCCACTCACAACTGCTCATTCATACACACACACACACACACACACACACTACAGCCAATTTAGTTTATTCAATTTCCCTATACTGCATGTGTTTGGACTGTGGGGGAAACCGGAGCACCCAGAGGAAACCCATGCCAACACAGGGAGAACATGCAAACTCCACACAGAAATGCCAAATGACCAAGCCGAGGCTCGGACCAGAGTCCTTCTTGCTGTGAGGCAATCGTGCAAACCACTGAGCCACCGTGTCGCAGACATCACAACTGTACTAGCAAAATGAATCCATTCAGACTTGACACAACATGGAAACACTGCCGTTTACACAGTGTGTGTGTGTGTGTGTGTGTGTGTGTTTGGATAATATTGGATCATCTCTTTTTGTAAATAAGAACTGTTTTTACTTTTTTTCTACTTGATCTTTTTACACGCATGACCTGCTGAATGCACTGGGTATACGGTATGTTTGACAAGATGTGCTGGGTCATTTAAAGTCATCTTAATTTTGGAAAAAAAACAACAACAACACTGCACTGTAATGCCTTTGTGCATATTTAACGAGTGACAGCAGAATTTCTGAAAATGTCTTTTTATAATAAATGATATGATGCAATGATTTAAAGAACTATAAAAAATCTTCACATGTATTATTATATTCATTCATTCATTCATTCTCTACCACTTTTCCTGAGCCGGGTCGCAGGAGCAACAGTCTTAGGAGAGAAGCCCAAACTCCCCTCTCCCCAGACACTTCCTCCAGCGGGATCCTGAGCATTTCCAGGCCAGCCGAAAGACATGGTCCCTCCAGAGTGTCCTGTGTTTTACCCGAGGCCTCCTACCCGTCAGACATGACTGGAACACCTCCCTAGGTAGGTGTCCAAGAGACATCTGAAACCCGAGCCACCTCAGCTGACTTCTTTCAATGTAGAGGAGCAGCGGCTCTACTCTGAGCTCCTCCTGGGTGTCAGAGCTCCTCACCCTATCTATAGGGGTGCGCCCTAGCACCCAGCAAAGGAAACTCATTTCAGCTACTTGTATTCAAGATCTTGTCCTTTCAGTCATGACCCAAAGCTCATGACCATCGGTGAGAGCAGGAACGTAGATTGACTGGTAAATCGAGAGCTTTGCCTTTCGGCTCAGCTCCTTTTTTTAACACAAAAGACCGATACATCGACCGCATTACTGCTGCACCGATTCGCCTGTCAATCTCACGCTCCATCCTTCCCTCACTCGTGAACAAAACCCCAAGATACTTGAACTCCTCCACCTGGGGTAAGGACTTTCCTCCAACCTGGAGATGGTAAACCACCTTTTTCTGGTGGAGCACAATCGCCTCGGACTTTTTAATAAATGAACACACATATATAGTTCACATACAGTATATAATTATTCAGTATATTTAAATTAATGTTTAAATTAATGAAAGCACCCTGAATATATTTGTGTTTGGACAACATGAAGCCAGCATTTTTTACAGCGCACAAATATACAAGAAGCATATCTTTGTTTTGTCCCCCTAAAAGGTTGGTTTAGAGCATTTATTAAAAACAGTGTACAAAAACAAAACTGCATACAATGTGAACACAAGCAAGCAAGAGTCCAGAGACAGAGTGATGTCCAATACATCATCATCTCTACTCCTCGTCCTCTTCCAAAAAAACACTGCTCGGACTGCACTGCACAACAAAACTGATAGAGATTGTCTGAGAATGAAGACTGAACACATGCACGGGTCAGGAAGACGCTCGGGCTTTCAACAGCCTTCAAGTTTCTATTTACAAAAACACTCAAATGCTACTGAGAGACGTTTGCATGGTCATCTTATTGCCACTATTAAACACTGACTCATTCCAAGCTTATCGGGTGTGAAACTTTGACTTGCTCTTGCATGAAAAAAGAAAAATTAAAAGTTAAAATCTCGCTCAGACACACAAATATATACAAACACGTACATTCAAGCTTCTAGAAATCGAATGGCATTTACAGAACATTACAAACCACAGCCTAGCCTAAAGTGCATGATTGGCCAGAAACACTGGGCCGTCCGTCCTGAAGCAGCAGCTGTGATGGAGGTCGTATTCAATGTTCAAATCAAAACCTCACTTCAGTCGTCCTTCTCAACGTCCACCCTGATTGGCCGTTTAAGCTCCTCCCCTTGCCAGCAATGCAGGTCTTTGATTGGTCGACTGGGGGAAAGGAGCTGATTGGTGGAGAGGTCTGGAATGTTGACTTCAGTTTATCCTCACGCCGTCAACTTCATTCGTCCTGTGGAGGAAGACAAATATGCGCAGTCATGACTGAATCAGGAGCTTTCCCAGTTTCCAGGAATTATGAGGACGCCGTGGAAAACAAACAAAAGGAGAAAGCTCCATTTAAAGTTCACATTCTAGCTTTCTGCAACTTCCTGCACACTAAGTAGACAGCTGTATTAACAAGCTTGTTAGGGCGCACTCACACTATGCTATCCGAACCATGCCCAGGCCTTATTCCCGGATTGTTTGAGAAGTGTGAGTTCTCTGAATCAGGCTCAGCGCGGTTCACTTGAGCATTGGCGCGGTACGCTTGTGTGTGTGTGCAAAACGTGCCTGAGCCCGAAACTGAAAGCGAGACGTGACTTTTAAGGGACGGTTTCATATGTGTTTATTAATCATTCTTACTGTTTAATGAACACAAACTGTCGTAGTATATTAAAGATGCAAACCCCTCACTGCACGACAGCTGCACCTTCAGCAAACCTCCTAATTCCTGCAGCACGAGGACTTTATGATTGTTTATGAGCGTCAAAAGATGCTGATCTGTTCGGCGAAATATTTGACTGCATGTCACTGCATATCGAACCACTAAAATGACTAAAATCTCCACTGTGAAGAGTGAAAGCGCTTACTGAACAGCGCAGCATCGATGACGTAAGCATGCCCAGGCCCGAATGTAATGTGAGTGCGGGCCATCGGGGGAGACGGAAGATGGTCAAGCATGCTTTGGCCTGGTTCAAGGCAACGGTGCATATTGTGAGTACACCCTTAGTCATTGTTACTCGAAGCTCTGAGAAACATTTGCTCTGTTTGCAAAACCTACAGGAACTAGCTTATAGATACAAGTACACATAGACATTTTCATTAGATTCTTAAAAAATGTATTGATTATTATTATTATTATTATTATTATTATTAATAATGATATATTTTTTAAATCACTAATGTGTGAACAGCTTATGACGAAAAAAAATAACCATACCTTTAATTAAAGGGATGGTTTACCCAAAAATAAAAATCACTGCAGCAATTACTTTGTTCTGAGTTTTTTTTCCTTGTGTTGAGCACAAAGATATATTGAAAAAATCTGGTTGATGGCAAGCATTGAAATAAATGGTGCAACGCAGGGGTTCCTTAACTTTTCAGCCCGGGACCCCCAAAAATAACAATGCCAATGACTCACAACCCCCACTATTTTCGAAAGTGGTTATAATCATACAAACGTTGCACACAACACTCACACAAACCAATAGGCAGGGCCAGACGGAATCTGCGCACGTGTTTTGCTATTTCTGCAGAAAATTTTGGTAATTATCTGCGGATTTCTGCTGAATTATTTTGGGAGTATCCAGCGCAGTATCATAACTAAAACCTTAATATATGAAATAAAAAATAATAAATTACTGAGTAAAAACTGAATAACTTCAGATTTACACATTTACTCAAGTAAATAAACAGAATTAATGATGGGCTAAAAATCTGCTGAATTCTGCGCGTGCAGATTCCGTGTGGGCCTACCAATAGGCCTATATAAACACAAGCATATTGATAACACAAAAAAGTGTAACAGTCTAAACACCCAAATCATTTTTTATTATTATGTAACATTAACCTCTCCTAATGAGACTGGAGGGCACAATATTTAAGTTAAATCACGTCTTTTCTTTGTTTAAATTTGGAGACCGCTACTTAAAGATCATTCTCCATGTTAAGTCGTGGCCTGTATTTATTTTAAATGTACGTGAGTGTTGTAAAGGTGTCAGAAAGTTTAGCTAGTGCCGTAAAATCAATCTGGTGCTTGGGTGCCATCAACCAGCATTCTTCAAAATATCTTCTTTCGTGTTCAACACAAGAAACTCAAATATTTTTTTGGCTGAACTTTCCCATTATCATGTTGTCTATGCTTAAATCTTTAGAAGAAAGACTTCAAGTGTGTGCAGATGTTCTGTTTTTTTTTTTTGCTGGAGTAACTGAGGGTGGAGCTGTAAAGGCTCCGCCCTCTGCAAAAGTGGGTGGGTCCCAGCAACTTATTTGCATTTAAAGAGATTGGGAAGACCCGAGACGGGCATTACTGGCTGTAAAATAAAAGTCACAATAGGACCCCTTTAAAAGTTGTTCATTTAATGAAAATGCTGAATAATATTTAGCTTTTATTCTTCTGGCGTTGTGAGAAAGCAGCTCGTTAGGTTTTGCAACAGAGCTGCGGTAATTCGTGTTGAACATTTGTGACTCTAATAATTAAATCACCTCACAAAAACATGTTATATCAGCACCACAGCACAGCCCAGCCAATCAGAAGCAGAGCTCGAGGTGAAGACGTCAACCAAAATACAAACAGCTAAACTCTGTCACTTTCACTCTCACACACACACACGCACGCACGCATGCATGCACACACGCACGCGCGCGCACACACACACACGCACACAAGCACACACACACACACACACGCACGCACGCACGCACGCACGCACACACGCACACACGCACACACACACGCACGCACACACGCACACACACACACACACACACACACACACACACACACACACACACACACACACACTTAAAAAAGACATACAGTGAAAACAGTGCCCAACTGCAGAACACACACACAGGACAACATCAAGAAATAAACTACAGAAAGCTTGAACAAGACCAAAGAAAAAGACACACACGGACAAAACAGCAGCTGATCTCGCTTCACACACATCACACTATCAGACACACGCTTGCTCGCACACGCATGCTTGCACACACACTCACTTGCTCGCACACGCCTGCACACTCACTTGTACAAGCATACTCGCACACTTGCTCGCACGCACGCTCATATGTACACGCACACACACATGATCACTCACACACTTGCGCTCTCTCACACACACACTCACTCGCTCTACCGCTCTCACACACATACACTCACACACACTCAGTGTTAGGCTGTGTTAGATGGGTGGGCATCGACATGTGGGGCACCATGCCATGCTGAGCAGTTCATGCCAAGCGACCAACCACAGAAAACCCCACCTACCTGCCCACCGTCCCCAACCAATGGGCTGCCTCTGTCTACCTGTCTATCTGGAAACCAACCAATTACAGCGTCACAATGCGCAGAACAGAGAATCACAGGACGTGACCTGTACTCAATCAGTGTGTGAGACGTGTATCATTATCAGATCACTGCATCAGAGTTTGAGTAATTGTTAAATGTGTGTGAGAGTGTGTGTGTTCACCTGTGGACAGTTGGCTGTGTGAGCGGCGGCGGGTGGTGGGGGTTTTGGAGGTGGAGGACAGGGTTGATCCTGCACTGCTGGCCCGAGAGATGGGCAGAGGAACAGGGGTCACAGGAGGAGAGTCCAGCTGCAGACACCAAAAATACAAACAATAAAAAA